AATTACCCCCAAGCCAACTACACCGAGCCAGAGACCGCAGCACCAACTACCTCAAACAGAAGGCCGGACTCCCGGCAGAACCACGTGGGATCACCAACACCAAACAAGACCCCGACTACAAAATCTGCACTGCAACAAGATGAAGAAACACGATGACAGCCCTCAGGACAGCAGAACCGGATTAGAACCACAACAACGAGAGCCATCGTCCCAACACCCTCCACCTTGAATAAACAAGGGAGGGTCCACCGAGGAGGAAGGTACAGACCCCACGATGGTCCTGCAGCAGAGTCCCCACACCCGCTACTACCGGTACAAGGGTCCCAACCAGAAACAAGACATTTCAGTGTAGACCATGCTGGCCCAGCTCCAAAACCCCAACAGTAGCACAGGGACACCATACTCCCCTGCGTCCAGTCACTGCAATGCAAGCGTCCACCCCTGGACAGAAAAAGAGAGGACAAAGGCAGCACAGACACCCACTCCAGACCCAAGAGCCCACCAACTAAGGCAAGGCCGACCCAGGACCCGCCAGGCCGACCCAGGACCCACCTCGACGTTAAAAAACTGCAGTTGGCAGACAGCAGAGGAATAATAGTCCCGGGTAGACTCCCAGTCCAGGAATACTGTGTACAAGGATGATGCATGGAGGGGACAGAACAAGATTCTCCTCCATCACAGACCGCACGCTCCCTGACCTATGACTGGCCAGGTGGGCACCAAGACCCCCCATTGACCTATGACAGGCCAAGTGGGCACCAAGACCCCCCATTGACCTATGACAGGCCAAGTGGGCACCAAGACCCGCCATTTACCTATGACAGGCCAAGTGGGCACCAAGACCCCCAATTTACCTATGACAGGCCTAGTGGGCACCAAGACCCCCAATTTACAGATGACATGCCAAGTGGGCATCCCGCCATTTACCTATGACAGGCCAAGTGGGCACCAAGACCCCCAATTTACCTATGACAGGCCTAGTGGGCACCAAGACCCCCAATTTACAGATGACATGCCAAGTGGGCCCCAAGACCCCCCCATTGACCTATGACAGGCCAAGTGGGCACCAAGACCCCCCATTGAAATATGACCGGCCAGGTGGACACCAGGACCCCCCCATTGACCTATGACAGGCCAAGTGGGCACCAGGACCCCCCCATTGACCTATAACACAGCAGAGTCCCCACCAAACCACATATCGAGTGCCCGGCATTGTCAGACAAACCGTCCCAGCAGGACGGGCCGATGATAACCACACCCAGTCATGACACGTAAAAGGGGGGCACCGAGCCTACCCCCCCAGGACTCTTCTGCCTGCTCTGGGAATGGCCTAAACCACATGGGCCACAAGACCACCAGAATGCCCAAAAGCAGAGATCATAGACCCACAAACCTCGGCACTCACACGTCTGACCATCCCCCTCCAGCCAGAAGGTACCCGTACCACTCACCGGGCCCCAGGAAGACACAGGCAGACAAACCTCAGGAGGGAGAGGACACATGTAGGCCCGAAGCAGGCCCCCCGCTTTCATCTCCCTGCAAGGACACCAGCCCCCCCAGACCAAGCACCCAAAGCAGCAGCCATACACACAGAGAACCGAGGATCATCACACACCAGTCCAGAACAAAGATGGCCACCGGTGCGTCCAGGAACGCCATAAAAGGGGGGGCAGAGCAGCCTGCACAGAACCCCATCCGCCATGTGCAGCCAGAGAGGTCGCCACCCCAGGGATGGGCATCGGTTGTGAGGCTGCCGGGTCCCACACAGAGTGGCCACCTGGAACGATGAGCACAGTAGTTTCCCAGCTCTACAATATGCCACCACACAGATCAGCCATAAAACACCAAGACTGACACGGCGACAACCTGGAGCGATGGGCATAGTAGTTCTCTAGCCCCATGACATGCCGCAGCCCGAACCCACAGAAAGTAGCCACAACCTCAGGGACTAACAGGGCGGGCACCTGGAGCAATGAGAGCAGTAGTTCTCTAGCACTGTGACAGGTCACTGCCACCGGAAATATCAGGGAAGTAGAAGGGAGTCAAGAACACCCCCCATGCCATGGTGACCCATCCCCCACACGCCCCAAGGACACCAGAACTGCCCCTGATCTGTGACCGCCGGGACCCTGGGCGACCACATGGAACCGCAGCCACCGGGAGAAGCAGACTGAGCGGACTCTACACCCGAGACAGAAAACAAAACCCCCCAAAAGCTGATCCAGCCCTAGGAAGAGAAGGGGAACCCCGGACCCACAGCAATGTACTGACCAACCCTCCCCCAGGACAGGCCGCCTCCTGCCACAGCCAAGCCCATCTGCCCCTAGATTCAGGACCGTCACAGCCAACCCGACGTAGCCGAGGATCTGCATGTGCTGGATGGAGGAGCCGGGGAGACAACAAGGATCCTTATCATCAGCTGCAGAAGACAAAGACACGGCACTGGGCTGGCTCTAAGTGTCGGGGGCCAATGTCAGGGGCCACCATAGGCCGAGCTTTGTTTTTTCTGCCTATTTCTGACTCCTGAAGGTGGCGCTATAAACCAGTCAGTCCAGATCTCCTCGGCTGTGTCCTCCTATAACAAATGTCCCATCATCACTTCCCGTCCAGACAGGAAGTCAGGGAATAACTCCCCCCCCCCGTACTCACAAGGCTGAGGGGATGACCACCGTGGTGTCTTCCTGAGCTTCTCTTTCCACTTCCATAACTTCATTTTCCAAGACCTTCAAATCCTCCACCTCCCTCTGCAAGAACGTGTCCAGGATCAGGAAAATCAACCACTCAGATAATACAAAAACACCAATCAGAGGGGCTCCCCACCATCCCTGTGCCCATTATGAGGGGCCTCCACCATCCCTGTGCCCATTATGAGGGGCCTCCACCATCCCTGTGCCCATTATGAGGAGCTCCCACCATCCCTGTGCTGAGTTATGGGGTCTGTACACCCTCTGTGCCCATTATGAGGGGCCCCCACCATCCCTATGCTGAGTTCCCGGGTCTGTACACCCGCTGTGCCCATTATGAGGTGCCCCCACCATCCCTGTGCGCGTCTGTACTCCCGCTGTGCCCATTATGAGGAGCTCCCACCATCCCTGTGCTGAGTTCCCGGGTCTGTACATTATGAGGGGCCCCCACCATCCCTGTGCTGAATTCCCACACTACATTGTACAGGGGCCCCTGGGGTCAGACAAAGAAGGGCCACATGTGAGCTCTGGCTTGGAAAGGATATTTGATGTTGGTCTCTTTGGCAGCGTTGCTCTCAGAGACGTCTTGCAGCTCGCGCTCCATGTGGTGCAGTTTGGACGTTGCGCTCTGTTTCTTAACATTTCTTACCCATATTTTTGGTAAAATATAAAAGTCGGGGTCATGTCGGGTGAATAGACAGCAAACACGTCAAGGACTAAAATAAGTCACCCGCAAAAAACTACACGACCCAAATATGACCATACGCGACGCTTTAAAAGGAGAACTATGAGGTCAGGGCTTTCCCCCATAGTTCTCCTCAGGGTCGTGGGGGGGACACAAACTAGCGTCCTCCGGTCACCCTAAGCTCAGTATTTAGGGAGCTACAGCTCGCCGCATCCCAACACGCAGCAGCCGCATCCCAACACGCAGCAGCCGCATCCCAACATGTCTGTATCCACCCAGCTGCGTGAGTGACAGCTGGCTCTGCCTATCTAGAGGCTGTACCCGCCCCCTCCCATTCCGCCAGTCAGCGCTGGAGGATTGGCGCGGGGAATCCCTGCAGGGAGCCGTGAGTGACAGTCACGGCTCTCTGCAGGGATATGATGGAGAAGTGAGCGAGTGCCGGTATGTGTTCTCTCACTTCCCGATCTATGGAGCCGACCTGTGACAGTCTCATTGCAACACGTCGGCTTGAACTATGAGGATCAGTGATTTTCACTCCCCTCGTAGTTCTCCTTTAAATGCTTGTACTGCTCATCAGTTTGGCGTTATCGGTGATTGGTGGGCGGAGAATTATTCCTCTCACTCCGACGCTCGCAGTGATATGTAACATGTGCATAACCCCGAGGAGCTTACAATCTAAGGTCCCCTCGTTTATACATACAGGAGCCAATGATCCTCCCAGCATGTCTTTGGAGTGAGGGAGGAAGCCGGAGTACCCGGAGGAAACACGCACAGGGAGAACATGCAAACTCCATGCAGATGGTGACCTGGCTGGGATTCGGACCCCAGAGCTGCATGGCAGAAGCACTACAGATGTAATGGAGAGCAAACCCCGGGGGGACACAATAAGGGGACGAGCACCTCTGATGAGATCCGAGGCCTGGAGTTCCGTGTCTATGAGGGACGTGATGATGGCTTCCTGCCGGTCCAAACTCTTCTTCAGAGGAGCAGCAGCGTTGTCAGATATCATGACCTTCACAATCTCCCGGCTCACCTCCACGTACTCCTCCATCTGCTCCCGAAGCATCGCAGCCCCCCGACAGGACGGACCAGAGATCTGCAGGAGGAACAAGTCACATCACATGACATTCTCTGCACCCCCCAATCTATGGGGGACATATACTAGCGTCCTCCCGTCACCCAAAGCTCAGTATATAGGGAGCTACAGCTCGCCGGATCCCAACATGTCTGTATCCACCCAGCTGCGTGAGTGACAGCTGGCTCTGCCTATCTAGAGGCTGTACCCGCCCCCTCCCCCGTCCGTTCCGCCAGTCAGCGCTGTGACCTACACAGTCATCACATTCTCTGCACCCCCCAATCTATGGGGATCTCCGGGCCGGGACTGCGTCATCTGTGGTGGGGGTCTCGGGCCGGGACTGCGTCATCTGTGGTGGGGGTCTCGGGCCGGGACTGCGTCATCTGTGGTGGGGGTCTCGGGCCGGGACTGCGTCATCTGTGGTGGGGGTCTCCGGGCCGGGACTGCGTCATCTATAGGGATCGCCCATACATTACATCTCCTCACCAGCTGACTCCGCCCTTCTCCTGTCTGACAGCCAACCATTTTTCTCTGCTCTCGGTAGTGAGAAGTAACCATAGCAACCTTCCACTCTTTGCCCAATCACCTTATTAGAAGATCCTCTCTGGAGCTGTTGTAAATTTGAATTTTGGCGCCAAGTTCTCCAGAGGCAGGCGGCGGCTTCGTTGTGCTCAGTCGTTTACCTCAGCGGCTTTCTGCCCCTTTCCTCCGGTACCAGCCGTGTAACGGAACGCGGGGAGCCGGGAGAGAACCACGTCCGGTGTGAGAGAAGACGGCTTCTGATTGAGTGCAGGAGGCGGGGCTGCCGCTTGTCACACTCCGGCAGTGGTGATAGGAGGCAGGAAAGGGGAGGATAGAGGCGGGGCAACCAGCCTATTACGTCATATGTGACCTGTCACACGCTGGGCGGGAAAGTGCGCTGATATCAGCCACTGATCTCGATGTGTTTGATTCGGAATGACGTCATGTCCCGGGGGCTCAGACCGATGGCAGTGACGTCACTAGGCTGCATACACATTGCATTGAGATGTCTGCTGGGTTTACACAATGAAGACAAGAGTGTGAGCTCCATATAATAATCCGGAGGAAGAACTCGCAATAGTTGGATCTGCCGCCTCTGATTCCGGAACATTCTATGGAAGAAAAAGTCATTTCTGCTTTTCTGACATTACACAAAATGAACCACGGGGAGGAGCTGATGATGGTGAAGGGGAGGAGCTAAATATGGCTGAGGGGGAGGAGCTGATGTTGTTGAAGAGGAATAGGTCTTGGAAGAATACCCCCCCCCACTCCATCAGTATAGCACAATAAATACGATGAACCCGACATTGTTACATTGTATCCAGTGTCCCTGAGCCCCGGCGCTCCCATATACCCACGGGGCCACACCATCAGTCCTGGAATAAACCCCCTCCCCGGGGCCACACCATCAGTCCTGGAATAAACCCCCTCCCCGGGGCCACACCATCAGTCCTGGAATAAACCCCCTCCCCGGGGCCACACCATCAGTCCTGGAATAAACCCCCTCCCCGGGGCCACACCATCAGTCCTGGAATAAACCCCCTCCCCGGGGCCACACCATCAGTCCTGGAATAAACCCCCTCCCCGGGGCCACACCATCAGTCTTGGAAGAATACCCCCCCCCCCAGGGCCACACCATCAGTATTGGAAGAATACCCCCCACCCTGGGGCCACACCATCAGTCT